AAGAATGAAAACATCAATTGAATAACATGACTATAAACCAATGTTATGAGATATGGTATGTTTAACCTGAAGCTAGGGGATGAACAAGGACAGTGAGAAGTCGTTCTCTGTAATGGGTTCCTGACCACTCCTCTAGGTCCAACCTTATCAGTAAAATACGTCATGGGGTGTTCCATGCCAAGTAAGTGTCTCGTCTGTCAAGCTGCAGGCAAATATGACATCAGTGCAAACATTGAATCGCCGAGTAGGAGAAGGGGTTGGGGGCAACGAAAAAATCACTCACTTGAAGTTGGCCATCGACTGACTGGGGTCTCGGTCCTCGATGCAATATATCAAGAACTTGTTTATAAATATGTAAGGGGTAAAGAAATCAACAAGGCCCATCATCCTCTTCTCCACTAAGAACTGACGTGGCTGAAAATGTAAGGGCGGGGGTGGGGGAGGGGAATAAACTATCCTAAAATATCCCCCCCCCCGCCCCCGCAAATATTTTTCTCAGCCTACTGTCCTTATCATATAGAAATAAAGAAATACAGTGTTAGGTATGTGTGACATGACTTTTATTTTATTTATTTATTTATTTATTTATTTATTTATTTATTTATTTATTAGTTTTGGAAACTTTTAAGGTCAGACTAAAAGAGTGCTTTCTTATGCAAGAATGATAACTTACAGAATATCTCTAAACCGAAATCATAAGAATGGAGATACTCATAATAAACGCGTCTGCTTTCTCTGAATTTCGTTATTTGCATCACAGGCTGATGATTAAAAAAAGGTAGACATGAAGACATTTAACGTGAACATAAATTTGTGTTGTACTAATATGCGAATATAGAATAGAAACTGAGTATGTCTTTTTACTGGAAGCAACTACACTGGGTTTATTTCACAACTCAAATTTTCAGTCAATGCAGATAAGGAAATGACAGAGCAAGTCAAAGCTGAAATGACACACCAAACGAAACCATTGAATATTGTCACAGAAAAGCAAAGTGTGTATAAAAACGGCCAATACATTATCTTTAAAGTGTTTTTTAATACTTCTAATTATTATCTATTTTGACCTGGGATTTAACATATGTATTACTGCAAACTTAATTCATT